GGAAGGAAGAAGTCTCAGAATGTCCTCAGGTGTCCCATCCCCATCCCCAAGGAAGTTGCGGCCAGACCTCTAGCCCAGGCTGGTGATGTTGGCACGGCCACCAGGGGGAGCCACAATGCGCTGGGTGGTGCGGCGGGGAATGTTGTCGTCAATCTGAGCACCTGGAGAGGAGACAGGGACAAGGGGCCGCGGTCAGGGTCAGAAACAGTCCCACCAACGGTTCCTGCTTCACGCCGGAACAGCACAGCCCAGGAGAAAAAGGGCCCGGCCCGTACTTGCAGTAAACTACATATAAAAGAACACTGTTTCAGCTGTTGATTGACTGAGACTACATCCTGCCCCTAATCTCATTAGGCAAATTAAGCGTGGCTTTTCTGAAGGTTTCGAGAGCCTTCTCCCTGGCTTTTTATTCCCCTAACTCTGTATGTACCTCTGCTGTAATGTGCTTCCTGAGATGGGAATGGCCTGGTGAGATAAAATAGAAACATCAGTGGGGCGCCTGGGTGGCTCAGTCGGTTGAGCGTCCGACTTCGGCTCAGGTCATGATCTCGCGGTCTGTGGGTTCGAGCCCCGTGTCGGGCTCTGTGCTGACAGCTCAGAGCCTGGAGCCTGCTTCGGATTCTGTGTCTCCCTCTCTCTCTGCCCCTCCCCTGCTTGTGCTCTGTCTCTCTCTCTCAAAAATAAATAAATGTAAAAAAAAAAAATGTTATTATGCCCATTTCACTTTCTGAGAAAACCAGTAAGGTTGGTTATTTTTTAAACTTTTGAAAACTGGTAAACCATTTAATGGCATACACAGTGACTCTCTGAAAACCAGCACTACCCGACAAGAAAAAAAAAAATCTACCGAATTAACTGTTTCTTTAGCATGCCATAGCAGAGAGATCTGAATACTTATCTGGGGCTCAGGGAGCTTGAAAGGTGGAAGGTTTCTAGCCATGGGCCAAATGGAGGGGCTGGAAGTTTCAAGTAGGAAACTTCCTGAACATCTGGACCTCTTCCTCTCACCTTCCCTGACATCATTCGCTTTCCCCGAACAACTAACGGCTGTTATATTAACGACTATGTATATTAACTCATTTAATCCCCAGCCCCATGAGGCAGCTACAACTCTTACGCCCATTCTCCAGATGAGGGGCCCGAGGCACGGCTGCATCTGGCTACAAAGTGAAGCGATTCAAACTCCAGAATGGTACCAGCTGAACTACGAGAATACACTGTACACGTGGGGACGAAGGGAGTTCCAAAATACCACAACACCGTCTGTCGGGATGGACACGAGACTCTGGAGAAATGTCCTCTTAATACACTGGGTTGTATGTACTCGGACTGTATGCATCAGGACACAGGTGACAGAAACTCATGTGAAGATTCTGAAACGCATCTGGCCATTTCATGTAAGTTACACCTCCAGGGATATTAGTGTTTCTCACCCACATCATTCTGGATTCTAGACTCGCTTGCTCCACTAACGTGGCCCTGCAGAACAGGGCCCCGACACGCCATAACCGTACCAGACAAGCTGAATCCAGACTGGTGCAGGTTCCGGACAGGAGGGGCCTGCTGCTTGGCAGGAGACGTCTTGGCCGAGGAGGCTGGGGTGACTGTCTTGGGCGTCACGGACACCTCGCACACGGGTCCGTCGTACAGGCCGCGGGGAACCCCTCTCAGTTCTGCCAGCTGCAAAACACAAGGGCCCGTTAACTCGGGCCACATTCACAGAGGACATCTCCCCCGCACCTCTCCTAAGAGGGAAGGAACAGCAGTCAGGACGGGCCTGTGAGATGTGCGGACGGAGGGCTCTCCTGACGGGCACATATGGCAGGGACAGAGGTCAGCGAGGAGCCAGCACCCACGGCTCCAGGCCAAAGCTCCCCCAAGGGGGACCGTGCATAGCTGGTTACTCCACAAAAACCGACTAACGTTTCTTACCATTTTTTCCCCAGGAACTTTAACTCACACCCAAGGCAGAACCCCTAAGCATGTTGTAAAGAGGATGTGCTCTCTTAGTTAAGATCTGGCCCCCAACTTCCTTTTCAATCTCACCCTCCCTTGAATTCCCTCGCAGCTCCATCCATTCCCTGCCTCACCGTCCCCAAGCACCGGCACTGTACGATGCCCTGAATACACTGTACATTTTCCATGCTCATGACATTCCAATTCCCTTGTCTCCCTTCTTTGACCTGTCAAACTCCTACTTAACCTTCCAAACCCAACTCAAAATGCCCTCTCCCCATGACACTTTCCCCCATGACTCCACAGCAGTGGCTGCCTCCTCTGAACCTCACTACTCATCACAGCACATACCACATCATACTTGATTCTGGCTGGCTTAGACATTCCTGACTCATCCGCTGGTATTCCGAACTCCAGAAATAAAAACATCACACTTCCCTTTATCCCTGAACCATCCCCTCCCCCGCACCCATCTTGATATTCTAACTCGAAGTGTAAGCACTTTTGGAATCGAACTTAACCCGTAATAAAAACAATTCATAAGATCAGAGCTACTCACTCTGCTCCTCGCCTTGATACGCTTGTAAACAAAATCAGGGAAGGGCTTCCGGGGGATGTAGCGCCCAGAGCCTTCGGTGACATGAAGGGTGCCATCCTCCAGGACGATCTTCCCCTGGCTGATGACCACCAGTGGAGAGCCACGGCACTCCATGCCTTCAAAGATGTTGTACTCAAGAGACTAGGGAGAGAGAACGCATAAACTTTAGCAGATTGCCTGTCGTCCTGGTGAGGTTCAACCAGTCTGGGGGCGCCCCCTACTCCGTATCACACAGATGAAAGAAAGGCCCAGAGATGAAGTCCTGTCCCAACTGGCCACCCCAGCAGGCACTCAACCTGTCTTGATTTCCCTGTCTAGAATATGGAATAATCTTTCCCTACTTCTCAAAACTTTGGGGGAAAAAACAGCTGGAACAGAAAAACTGTATGGAAAAGCGTGAAGGTTTGCAAATGCTGCACAAATGTAAAGAAAATGATTCCTTGCATTAGCAGCGGCTCTGTCCTCACGGACTCAAGCCCCAATCAGGTTAAAACCCAAAGACTTTCTCTGACCAAGTTGCAAATTTCATTTTGGGATGAGCATCCATGAGCCGGCTTTCCCGGTTTTCCAATCTGTCAGGGATGTGGTTACACTGCGGTCCCTGAACAAAAAGACCGTGGCAACTCGGGCCATGCCTTCAATAACGTTTGAAGTCTAGCTAACTTCTAGCTAACTTGCAGCGATCCTTCTAGCTTCAAGTTTTGCAGTGACCTCTCCATGTGTCCTCCTGGAAAATACGCAGGAACTTGATGTGCATGTGAGTTTGTTCTTGCAGAAAAAGGCAACGGAAAAGGGGAGGCACAACTCTTACATGTCACAGTCCCATCCCATGGCTTCGGCTCACCCACTGCTACTTATCCACAGTGCCCCCCGCTTCTTCCTGCCTGCCCCGTGCATCAGTACAAATGGCCGTGGCTGGAGAATCAACAGGCAGCTCTCACCTCAAAAAGCAGCCCGGCCTTCTAGAGAAGTCGGACCAGATTATCAGCACTAAAGGAGTCAGTCTGTGAACAGAGAGCGGTCACAGGACACTGCAGTTCAGGAGAACATTTCTGTTTGGCACAGTGGCTAGGCAGTGCGGGGAAGCGCCCGGCTGGCCTAACAGCTCACGTTCAGTGTCCAAATGCAGGGGTGTTGACTGAAAACTGCAAGGAAGGGGGCGCCTGGGTGGCTCGGTGGCTTAAGTGTCCCACTCTTGGTTTTGGCTCAGGTCATGATCTCACATTTCATGGATTCGAGCCCCATGTCCGACTCTGTGCTGACAGCGTGGAGCCTGCTTGGGATTCTCTCTCTGCCTCTCTCTCTGCCTCTCTCTCAAAATCAATAAATACTTATTTAAAAATATATATATTAAAAAAACAAAACAAAACCCTGCAACGAAGGGCTGTCAGCACTGCTCTGAGACTCCCGTGGAAAGAATCCCGTGGAAGCTACCCAAGAAATAAGGCAGAGGCACCTGGGGGATGGGGAGGGGGCTCCACACATGCATTCCGGGACCAAAGTGTGCGCCCCAAGCCTAAGACTGCCTTCCATCCCTGAAATCAGTATCAGCAACAGAGCTGTGCAACCTGTCGGCCTCGATGGAACTGGGCTCTTCCAGCAGGATCCTTGCTTTCCCCCCTGGCCTGGGGGATCACCCCACTGGGGCCATTTTACATTCAGCACTCAGCCTGACATTTTCCTAGACCACGCCGGCGACAGGAACTCGGACCACCAGCTTGCTGGAGTACCAGGCTTCAGCTCATCTTCTCAGCAGACACTTTTGCCTGCCAAAGTTGAGGCACACCAGATTCTCTGCTCCCCCCTTTCTCCACGGCGGATCCAGCTCTTGCCCAACCTAGGCGATGCACAGGCCAGCCCTCGGTAGCACAGTGTATCTGCAGAGGGGCCCCGTGTTACACGCCTCGTCTTGGCGTGTTTTCTCTCACAGCGGTATGTAAACTCAGGGAATCCCTCCAAATCGGAGGCATCTTAGACTGGGTGCAGTCCAGGCCCTGTGTGTGGGAACTCTGAGCAGGGTCGCTTGAATCCTGCCTCAGAACTCGTTTCTTTATCTGCCTCTCTCTCAGGGCTTTCGTGATGGTGACCGCACACAAGGAACCTATGTGCGTAGATCACGTTGTCAGAATCCTATCGTCTCTGAACTGACCTCTGACGGGGTGTGCGTCACCATCTGAGGGCATTAAGCCCTACCTCTTCTGGGTCACTCCGCAGCTAAGTGTCTACACTCTAACAAGCTCCTCTTCTACCTTACCGAAAGACTGGGGACAGCTCTGGACACGGGGCCATCCATCCGCCCTGGGTTCGGATCCCAGTTCTGCCACACACCAGCTCTGTGACTCTGGACAAGCCCCTTACACTCCTGAGATTCAGCTCCTCGTCGACCAGGGACAAAACCTGCCTCGCAGCACTGGCACCAAGATTCAGTGAAATAAAATGAACAAAAGCATCTAGCACGTTACTTGGCACAGACCAGGCATTTAGGAAATGTTCACTCCTCCACGGCCTGTTTTTTTTTGTTTGTTTGTTTGTTTTGTCCTTTCCCAGTAAGACGGCAAGCTCTTCAGTTTCAAAGCCATCATGAGACGCATACACTGAGTTTAACTGCCTGTAAATGACTGATCACAAATGCCTAGAAGGGCTTTCGGCCATCTCTCATTTTCGCAAGACGGGAAGAACCAGCCCCATGACTCTAAGTGACTTAAAATGAACAAGCCCAATAGTTCAGATCACAGCTTAGGGGATACAGAAACTACCCTCTGTCAAACCACGAGGCAGGGAGGCTTCGCTGTTCACCAGGTAGAGACATTTTTAACCTACATCCACCCTGGCTCCCTAAAATAACTCATCTGGCTGGATGCCTGAAAAATCCAAGCAGAGGCTTAGCAACAGGGCTCTCAATGATAGTTAGCTAAATGCTCCAAATTAAAGCTAATTAGCCCAGTGGTATGAAACACTGTATTACATAGGGAAAGCCTCTCATTTGTATTTTCCTGGATGATTAAGGCTGCACAGATGTGCTCAGTATGGGCCCTGAATCAGGTGAGGACAGAAAAGAGGCGCTTTTCTTACGTGGGGTTGCCTGGAGGTAAAGGCAGGCCAGTGCTGTTGCTCTGGAAAAGCGAATGTGTGAATGGCAGAAATCTGTCTTCTCGATTTTTCACATCCCCTCTTCTGCCAGGTGAAGGGCTCCAAGTGCAAACTCCCTAACTAGGTCATCTGCAGCTTAAATAACGAGTCCAGTTCACCCTCTATCACCTCTGCAGAAGGGACTGTCAAGGAGGAGAAGCATTTCTTCCATCGAAGCCTGACCAAGAGGCTGTACATGCAGTCTGGTAGGGAAGAACCCTGGACAATTTTGGCTTCTAATTCTGGCTCTACCACAAAATAGCTATGTAACGTCAGACTGGTCACTTACGCTCTCAAACCCTCCATTTACTTATCTTCCCAATTGGGGTAATGGTGCCACCCCTACATTGAGAAGGCCGGATGAAAAGTAAATGGGACTGTGACGTTCATGAATAAGAATAGCTAGGTTCACTGGGCAGGACCCCAGGAGCTCTGCCTGCAGAGGCCATTCTGGACCCCCAAGATGTTGTGATCTAAGTTACAAGTAGGTGTGGCTATAAGGCTATGCTGGGAAGCTAAGCCAGCCAATGGGGAAGGAGGAAAAAAGTCAACTCTACACATTGAGAACTGAGCAACCTTCCCAAAAGACATCCACCATCCAGGCACCTACAGGTGTCCACAGAAGCTAGAGGTGAGCCCCGCAGCCCAAGTACCTCTGTCCAAACAGGAGAGGCTTGGGATACAGCAAAAGGCCCAGAGCTGTCCTAGAGAGACCCCTGAAGCCCACCCCGGATCTGCCACGGCACCTGGGGGAGGTGTCAGTATTTACTGGCCCAGGCTATGTGGGGTGGACCGTCTAGAATCAGATTCCCTATGTGCCCAGCTTTCATTTTGATTTTTATGTAGAATATCCTTGTCATTCATTAAGATTTCTTAATGAATTCCTAAGACTTTCTGACATAAAACACTCGTGTCCTATGCCCATTTCTTTTCCCTTTGTGTATTTTCTTTCGATATTTAATACACACACACACACACACACACACACACACACACACACGGTTTTTTCTATGAAGAACCGAAGGTATCTCACAGCTCTAATGCCACTGATCTCGCAAAATCACAGGACAGTCAGAGACTTTGTCTAAACCCCTTCAGGTCCACTGAGGAGCCTGCGACATGACATGAAGTCCCTTACCTAATGTCTAATTAATAACACAGGGCATCCTCAAGCTCTGCGGTGTAGACCAAGAAGCAAGAGATACCCTAAACTACAGATCCTAAAATCATGATCAGAATACTGCTGGAGATAGTTCTTCTATTTGGGAAGAAGTCAAAGTGAATGAATTCCTTTAGGACAAGAGCACCTGTCACTTAGGTTTCTGTCCAACAACACTGAAAAGCAGTGGCTTAAAGGAATCAAACTGTGCATCTCAGGGTGGACATCTGAACGTTTGACATAGGTCCCTCATGGTAAGCACTGCCACGAGAGGTGTTGCATCCAACCACTGCACCCATGGGATGGTGCCTGACTTCCAGAAGCTTCTGATGTCCTGGCATGACTTTAGAGGCTTTGGAGGTCTACAGACAAAGACCTCCATCTATAAAGAGTCCATGGGACTGCAAAATGGTGATAAGAGTAACAGTCTTACTGATCTCACCAAAGATAAGGAGATGGCTATTCTCAACAAATTGCAAGTTATACTATACCCCAGGAAATGTGTAATATATCTTGCGGTTCATTCCTATCACATCAAGTTCTTTCCGGGGACTCTCCCTCCCTCAGTCTCTTTCTGTGACTACAATTCATTCAGATTGGGTCCATGCAGTATAACAGGACTTACACTGTTGTGGGTCTTGGCAGAGATGGTTTTAACGCTGTCGGGGTCCCAGATGACCAGGTCAGCATCGGATCCCACAGCAATGCGGCCTTTCCGGGGGTACAGGTTGAAGACTTTGGCTGCATTGGTGCTGGTCACGGCCACAAACTGGTTCTCATCCATCTTCCCCGTGACCTGAGAAGCACAGCACATACACGCACACACACCAAATGCAGGTTACAGAGTAGAAAGGAGCAATGTGACTTCGCAGAAAAAAAAAAAAAAAGGAACATGCTTTGGATATATACCACAACTTAGACGAGCATAAAGGGCATTGTGCTGAAAGAACCAACCTCAAAAGGCCACAAGCCATATGATTTTATTTGTATCCCATTCTGAAAATAAAAAAGTTACAGAGATGGAAGACAGATGAGGGACGAGGTGAAGATTCCTCCAGGGGCCAGGGTGGCTATCACAGGGCAACACATAGGGGATGTTTGTGGTGATGGGGGAAGTCTGGGTCTTGGTTTTGGGTGGTGGTTACATGAACCTACATATGACAACATGACAGAACCACACACACACACACACACACACTGTGTTGCTGTCAATGTGTGGGCTTTGATAAGGTGCCATAATCACTTGTTGGTAAAAATGGAGGAAGAGCACACAGGACCCATCTCTCTGTTCTGTCTTTGTTAACTGCCTCTGAATCTATAATTATTTGATAGTGAAAAGTTAAAAAAAAAAAAATTCTAAAGGGGCTACAATGCCTCTTCAGGAAGGATCACTTCGGGGAGCCTGGGTGGCTCAGTCAGTTAAGCGTCCAACTCTTGATCGATCTCAGCTCAGGTCATAATCCCACAGCTTCTGTGGAAGCCTGAATTTTACCGCCAGGCTCTAGCCGAAGAAGAGTCTACTTGGGGGATTCTTTAATCTTCTCTCAAAATAACAACATTAAAAAAAAAAAAAAAAAGGAAACAACATTTGGCCTCAATGACTGTCCTTTTCAAAACTACAAGTCCAGGGGCTCCTGGGTGGCGCAGTCGGTTGAGCGTCTGACTTCAGCCAGGTCACGCCCATCTCAAGGGTCTCAGAGTTCGTGAGCCCCTCGCTGTTTGGGCTGAGGGCTCAGAGCCTGGAGCCTGTTTCTGATTCTGTGTCCCCCTCTCCTCCCCTCCCCCGTTCATGCTCTGTCTCTCTCTGTCCCAAAGATAGATAAACGTTGAAAAAAAAAAAAAAAATTTTAAATTAAAAAAAAAAAAAGACTACAAGTCCAGGCTCAGGCTTGCGGTCTAGCCAACCCAGAGGTCCCAGCGCCCGGTCGGGGCACCGCACCTGTGTCATGCTGTAGGTGCTGATCAGTTTCCTCACGCCCTGCCCTGCAGTTTCTCATCCCTACCCCTTAAGTTTCTCTTCCCTTTCAACGCAGATCAGAGGAAATGACTGCCTGTCTCTGAGTTAGGGAAGCCACTCTAAAGCTAGGAGAAAAACGAGCCAAGGAAATGAGCAGGTATTAAGAGAGAGGAAAATACAAATGGCCAAGAAGCACACGAAAAAAAAACTTCACTTTAATCAGTCACTGAAGAGATTAAATGTAAAACAAATTCACCCCTCAGATGGGCAAAGTTCTATTTTTTGATGACAATACCAGTTGGGACCTGGTAGAAGAAAATGGCACACACAGCTGGCAGCATACAAGTTGGTGTAATCTTTGTGGAAAGAACTTTGACGACACAGCAAAAGCCTTAAAGATATACACAACCTTTGGCCCAGGAAATAGCACTTCTAGAAATTTCTCCTACAAGCACCATTAAAGATCTATCTAAGAAGGTGTTTACAAGATGTTCATCCCAGTAAAAAAAAAAAAAAAAATCAAAATCAAAAACAGCATACGGGCACCTGGTGACTCAGTCAGTTAAGCGTCTGACTCTTGATTTCGGCTCGGGTCATGATCTCACGGTTTGGGCGACTGAGCCGTGCATCAGTCTCTGTGCTGACAGCATGGAGCCTCTTTGGGATCCTCTCTCTCTCCCTCTCTGCCCCTCCCCTGCTCTCTCTCTCTGGAGAGACTTATATAATGGATAAACTTATATAAATGTTCAAAGAATTACAAATGAATTACCGTCCAGCATTAAGATGGAATCTTTTGCTACTAATGACCAAGTTTTTCTAAGTATATTTAAGGATGCGAGGACATTTTCATAACATACTCTTTTAAAACAAGCCACAAAACAGTATATATGATGCCCGTGTTACCTACACTCTCACACACATACATATCGGATACACACGGGTACTCTTGCACTGGCAGAAACTGGAAAGACATTTGCCAAAATCTTAATTGCAGTTATCTGAAAGGGATTTTTACTTATTTCCTTATTCTTTTTGGAATAAGGATATATGGTGTCCATACTCGAAACAAATCATTAAGAAACAGAAAAACCTGTTCTGTTGTGCTTTCAAACACTGAAAATGAAAAAGCCCAAAGACTCCTGAGAGGTCGGTGTATGTTCAAAGCAGGCCTGCCGGAAGCCTGGAGTGGGCAGAAATGCTAACCCTAGAGAGCCCTACTAGACAGTTTTAAGGAAATTATGTCCATTTCCCAGAGTAGAAGACTGACTGAGACAGTCACCGGGTTGCTAAGGAAGTTTTTTCCTGACTGATCAAAAAAGTCCTATTTTATTATTATTTCTTTTTTTAATTTTTTTAATGTTTGTTTATTTTTGAGAGAGAGAGAGGGAGACAGAATCCGAAGCAGGCTCCAGGTTCTGAGCTGTCAGCACAGAGCCCGATGTGGGGCTCAAACTTGTGAACTGCGAGATCATGACCTGAGCTGAAATTGGTTGCTCCACTGACTAAGCCATCCAGGCGCCCCAAAGTCAAATTTTAAAGAGTCTCTGGGTTTTCTTTTTCAGTTTCCACTGATTCACAGACAATAACGGTAAGAAATATATATGTATTATTTAGGAGGAAAGGGCCACAAGGAGTGGTCTTGGATTCCCAAACCTAAAAACTCCTGTCACACCAGCACCAGCTTCTAGAATTTTCTCAACTGCCATGTCAAGGCTTCCAGGAGACCCAGGACCCTCAGAGGAGCTGGCCAGGGGAAGCGGACACTAATCCACGAGGGAGGCTCCCGCTCCTTACCACAGCCTTATCCCAGATGACGGACATCCGCTCCTCGGTGCCATTGGTGCCTTCGGGGATCAGGGTGAAGTTGTCCTTTCCCACAGCCTTCTGGGCAGTGTTGAATGTGCAGTGGGCACTGCCAGTGACCTGAAGATCTCCGCTGGAAGGAAAACACACGGCTGGCTTGTAACGAATCTCATACCCCAAAACATCCTTGGACGTGTTTTTCTCATTTGCGGGGCCACTGACGGATTTCGAAAGAGCCTGTCCTCCCCTCACGAGATAGGAGATTCGCGAAGAAGTGACACGGTAGCAAAGCTTCACACTACATCTCTTTTGTGAGGTATCTCAGCTTCTGGCCACGCCGCACCACAGTGGGACCCTTTTGATCCCTCGTTCATTCCCTCCGGTCGGCTTTCAAGACGGCCCAGGATTTTATCTAGAATTTCCTGGCAGGATGACATCAGAGCGATAATCCCCTGTTCCTGCTTAGCCATCTGAATCTGGAGAACAGAGGTCCCTCTGTTTGGAAGCCTGCTTTTGCCCGCCATGCTGGACCCTGACAGGTCAGCCTGGTCCAAGGAGAGGCTGAGAAGGGGGAGTGTGAACACGTCACCAAGACTCACCAGGACAGCAAGGAGTTCAGGAAGTCCGGAGTGGTCGGGTCAGGGCTCAGGGGTGGGGAGGTGACAAAAGCGGCGGCCTTGGCCCAGTTCTTGCTCCAGTAGTGGGAGCCATCAGTCCCCAAGCTGGCGGTGATGGGCTCACCATACACCACGGTTCCTGTCCAACAGGAAGACAAAGCTCAGTAGGATACAACAAGGGAAGAAAACCACCCTACTGGGAACCACCAACGCCTGGCAGCAGGCCAATGGCTCGCCATCCCTTGCTCACCCTCTCGAAGGCAAAGACCTGGATGGCCCAATACGTCCACCTGCCAAAGTCACCAATCTAACGTGCGCTCCCTATGATTCTACCCCTGGGCCCCGCTCTTCTACCTCAACACACTCTCTTACCTCCTACACTGCCGATTCCCACGTCTCCTAACAGTCCCCAGCTCAGACTGCGTCCAAGCACCCGGTCCCGAGGGCTGTCTACACTCTTAGTTTGGGGTGACCCACGGCACCTCAAACTTGACCTCACGGCTCATCAAATACTTTCTCCGCTTCCCAACATTGCCCAACTCTCTTTGCACGGTCCAGCTCTGGCTCCTGGACTGAGAGAGGAAGTCAGACATGGTATCAGTGGGCCTGAGGCGTTTGAGAACATGTATTCAGCCCTCCAGATGGGTCCAAGAGACAGCCTGGATCCCTGAGTCACTGCCTGAAGGCAGCTGTCCTTGAGAGCCACCAGATGCAGCACCAACTCGGTGAGACTGAGAAACAAAGGACTCTGCACAGTGATGCTACTCAGACGTCAGTGTATCCGGAAGCTTGGTCCAACTTCATACATTGTCCAAGAATGTCGATTCCCTGATGCTCACTCAAATCACGTCCTCTTCTCTGTCCATTCAGGTGCAAGCCACAAAGTCGGGAGTCATCAACCCACTGAATGCCCGAGCTTCAACACTGTAAATACACCCTTCCCTCTCCACCTCACGTTCCTTCCCTTCCATCAGGCCTTCTTCCTTTCTCCCTGGCTCACTCCAACAGAGCCTCCCGATCAGAGTCGTACTTTTGCTTTTCCCAATGTTCCCAGGTTTACTTTCGCTTTCCCATCGTTCTTCCCTGCCTCTCCGCTCATTCTCCAGGACCCTTCCAGAGTGATCTTCCCTACGCATAATCTTCCCAAGCCATCCTCTTCCATAAACCCCGAAGGAGCCCTTCTGCTTTCGAGAACGAGACAAACTCCTCCCAGAAGCATCTAAGGCCCCTCATTATCCAGCTTCATGTTAAAGCTCGTCGCTTCCTCGACGTCATCTACGACACACCTGGTCCTCCCTTCCAATAATCATCCAGTTTTGAATTTTTTGATTCTCCGCTTGCGGAATTCCTGAAGAAAAGGAGTCAGTCTGCACACAGGAGCCACTCGATAAATGTGTGTCAAACTGATGAAAGGGCGTAATGCTTTCTTAGTTGAAGGCATCAGGGCTGGGATTTCACCTCAGCCAGCCTTAGGGCCACCAGGAATGTGCCTCTCCTTGCCTCCTTCCATCATAGGAGGGCTAACCCCACCCCCCACAGCAGTCAGCCAAGGATTCCCTCTTCTCTAAGGCCAAACACTTCCCAGTCAGGAATGTGCCTCCTTGCCTCTCCCCAGCCTCTTCCAAGGACTTATCTCTTGATGACATACCATAATACCTTCTCTGCTGCCCTAGAGCCGCCTCCTCCGGGCTGCCCCCTCTAGCCTCAGGAATTTCACAAAGGAGCCACTCTCCAGCCAGGCAGTGTTGGAGGCCACTGGCGGGCAGCTCATTTGAGGAAATCAAGTTAACCATGCCCAAGCGGGAGAAACCAATCCAGGGCTCCAGAACCCGGGGGGAGCCTCACACAGCAGGAAGCCCCCAGGCAGAAAAGGGCCAATGCTCAGAATCACCTGGAAGGGCTCCTGAGTTCCCGACTCACGCAAAGCCGGCGGGGCGGCTGCACAAACTGCCCCCGCTCATCCCGAAGTGGAAAAACACTGCACAACGAGCAGGCCTTCACTGCTGCCAGGGCCACTTATGAAATACAAGCGGCTGAGCAGACCAGCGCTGGGCCCTGGGCTCTCACAGGACCTGAGGCTCCTGGCTTTTGGTTTGCACATCAGCCCCACCACCCCTCGCAACTGCCTGAGCGGGATTATGGCTCTTCTGACCCAGCCAGGAATTAGGAAAACAAAGGATCTGTAACCCTAAAGGTTACCAGCTTGGGTCATGAGTAGGTTCCAGAGAGCAGAAGTGCTCAGAGAAAAAGCCTGCTTAGACCGTCTTTGAAAATCACTGGTTAAGCGCGGACGTTTTCCTGATTCTCTCGTGAGTTGCTATGGCTCACCCTCTCCCAGGACCTGCTCTTCAGTCCTCCCTTTGGAAGCTTTAGCACGAGGAGGAGCTGGTTCCTGGAACACCTCCTGGATCCCACCAAGTGTGAGTGCCCTTGACTGTGACCTTCATCCCACTCTACGAAACTCAGACTGGGGTGGGTCCCATTCTCTCTGCGCCTGGGAACGTGCACCTCCCTGCAAAGGAATGAACCCAGCCTGCAGCCTCTGAAAAACCCGGAACTGAAGCGGCGCTTCAAGGCCACTGCGGACCCGAACCGGTCTCCTTAGGCCAAGGCTGAGCCAGGACTCCTCGGCCAGCGCCAGGCTAAGATGGGGATAAGGGAGAAGGAGGGAGGCGTCTTGTAGCTCATCTCAGCTTTGTCCTGTTCAAATTTCAAGGGAATCAGAGGTCCTTGCTGGCTTTCCATTGATTTTTCTTTAGCCCCCAAAGGCAGGGCAGGGGTTAAACCAGCCTGTAGAAGGCCTCCTCCTCCAGGGAGAGGTAGGTCCACAGGTGGGGGGCTCTGCCATTCAGGACTGATGGCCCCCCAGTACCTCCCCAGGGTACCACTCCCATTTTATAAACACTGTTCCCGAGGGAGCCATGGATGAGCTTCCGGTCCTCCATCAGGCCACGGACACCACTAAACTGTGTGCCAGAAATAATAACCAATGATAATAATAAGCCACAAAATAGGCTTAAAGGGCCTTTCCACACTCCTCTAAATATACTGCTGACCCTCTCTTGGCGGCAGTTAGACCTTCATGACTTTCTTCTCCAGGGAGAGTCTGAACTGCAGGATGTGACCCCGAGCCAGCCTTTGGCAGGCTCTCTAGGATGGCAGGGAACTGCAAGGCCTTGGGGGTGGTGTTTATTCACAACGAGCCTGGGGCCTGAGTGCATTCATGAAGAATAAATGCAAGGCTGGGGTTTAGAAATGTTTGACAGCTCCTGGCTCTGACAGTTAAGTCATTTCCCATTAACTAGAAGCAAGAGGACAAATCCAGAGCAGAAACCATGGAAAACCATGTAGATGTATTTCAAAACACAGCCACAAAAGCACATTATAAAACCAACTGGGACAGTGACTCACTCTCACTCTCTCTCTCTCTCTCTCTCTCTCTCTCTCCTCTCAGAGAACCTAAGCCAGAACTCAACAGCCTAGGGCTCGTCCATGGATAACCCTGTCAGATTTTGGTACCAAGGGTGGTTCCAGAGGAACAGAATCAAAAGTTTTCTGAATTGATTCTGGGGTTTCTAGAATTGCCTCTCTAATCTGATTTGATTTAAAGGCACTAATGCCTCTGTTAAAACAGACGCACAAAATATCACCACTGCATACGCCCTATACTTATCATAAGAGGCTAAGTCTGGGTTGACCACAGATCTGATTCCTTAGAATACTGTTGGCAAACTGAGTAGAACACGATTGCCTGGTGGGTCCAAATAAAGTGGAGAAAGAAAAAGTTGAGGCCAGGGATTCAAACTCCCAGCCCGAGTGCTATATAAATGACCTGAGAGTTTCTAGGTCTGCCCTGAAAGAGACCTTCTCTCTAGGAGTCTTTTTTTTTTTTTT